CTTTTCAATCCTCTTTACATGTCTAAATTGAAAAGGGAAAAATCCCCGGCTGAAATCGAACCAGTCGCAAAAAGCGCAGAAAAGGGAGAGAAAAAGGGAGTAAAAAGGGGCTACTGTGAACGACCCTAATGGTCCCGTGGCCGACATAGCTGTCCTGCCGCTATCGTTTTGAGCCTACCAAACTCAAGACCTGCCAGAGGATTCAATTGCCTATGCGCTGAATAGCATTCCCTCCGACCTTTGAAAGTTAACACGATTCATTTTGGATTTACGCTCTCAGCCTAGGCCCCGTGAAGCTCCTGTCAAGGCTTGTCAGAAAAATAGGATTTTTGAGGGCAAAAATTTCCTATTTCCTTGTCCAAGAATAGGATTTTCGAGGCCAAAATCGCAAACCATTGTCCGCAGATGGGATTTTTGACGGGCGAGGTGCGTGATTTTGAGATGTATTGGTGTGATTCGGCCAACCATCATAGGTGGCTGAATCAGATGCAGGAAGGAAGGCAGCTGCTGGCTGCTTTCCAGCTGCGATGGACGCGAAGCTGTTAGAGCGGCTAAAAATTGTCCAGGAGTACGTGGTTCTTATTTTATTTTGCCGACGCATACTATCGCTGACTGCCTACATGGCCAGACGGGGTACCTGGCCACTTGCAAAATAGAACTGTTACCACCAGGGGATGGTAAGTGGTTGGACTTGAGAGAGGGACTATGACCTCCAGCGCGGGTCTGGACCAAACTCAGGGGCAAAATTGATGAGTTGATCGACAGCTGTGGCTCGGTTGATCGCGGGCCGAAGGGTGAGAACATCATTTCCGTAACTTCGAGTGGCATTTCTCCATCAATTATTTACCAATCGACGACTTCCAGAGCTCGTTCTTCTGCCCTAATGCGGGCTTTCCCCCAGTCATGAAACGACTTCTAAAACTTCAGTCCTGCTGTCATGCAGTCCCCTAAATGATCGCAAAGCGGCTTGGACGACCACGACGCGAAAGGCTGTCTATCAAGCGACCCTTTGACGCTGCAGATCTAGGCCTTGAGATAGATCATGATGATGTATCAAGCTTGAATTTACATGTAGCCAGTAATTTTATTTATTAAATGCCTCTCTCATCGGCGTCCAATGCCCGCCATCACCCTGTTTTCGGTGGGAACAATGTCTAAATGCCGGGCTCCCGACAGCGCGACTCTGGAGTGAAATAGCCGGTCCAGGCATATCCGTTTACTTCGTATGAAGCCCCACACAACTTGTTTTGGCCACGGCCGCCCTCTAACGCTCGCGCGATCCTCGTTTGATCCGCGGCGTGGGTCCCGGCGCTTTCACACCTTGTTAGAAGCGCCAACATCTTCCATTTCTATGGCTCCGAAATAATGGTTTGATATCCAGAATAAGACATTTAGGTCCCTTGAACATATTCTGCGCCACAGGGTTATTGATTGGGCCAGCAACGATGAATTTTCGTCGGTGGCCAGGTACCCCGTCAATTGCCTTTCTGGGAGTTCCGACGGAAAAGAATTCACCAAGCACTCCAACTCTCACCAAAATTGTCCCAAGTGGGCTTCACTTGCTCATAGGGTGTATGCCGTGCATATCCAACTCTCGGGCCCATGGGAAGTCCCTACGCGAAGCACCTAATCGGCCAAAAACCTTGAGGTGGCCAGCTTCCCGGCGTTTGATAGTAGACTCGTCACCAGTCTGCTTACGAGGTTGCAAAAATGTGGCGAACACGTCGCCGTAGGCAGACTGGTACGATTCGGGATTTGCAATTGAGCTAGGCCTGAGTTTGAATTGTTTGAGGGGTGCCGACTTGCCAATCAGAACCGAGCAGCAACTTCCTCAAGTAACTCGGGTTCAAGTTGCAGCTCCCCACGCTGCCAAAACAAAAATTTGAGGAGACAGAAGTGAAGATAGTCACATTCCATTTTGAACCCTAGCTTTGACTGAGAAAAAATAATGAACTTTGAGTGCACTGCAGGCAAGATCAGAAATTTCAAACTCAGGCCCAGCTCAATTGGGCCGCCCGAATTGTACCAGTCTGCCTACGGCAAAGAGCTTGCCTCATTTTTTTGCCACTCGTAGGCAGACTGGTAACGAGTCTAGCCGACCCAGGCCTCCTGGTAACCTACCGTCTGAAACTTGGTTGTTTGAGGCTCGTCCCCATTTGGACGAGAAACACGGGGGGACCGAGGATTATACAAATTAGAAATATGTAGAGCCGATAAATTTAAATCAGTAACCCGCATGATGTATGGCGAAACACGGACTTCGACTCCGTCGTGTACGGAGTGTTTCGGGATCGTAGTGGTCACAGAAAGGAATTTGAGCGGGGGACCGATGCAAAGGTGGAAGACGGCAGAGCAAGCGAGTGAAGATTGTGGGAGGTGGTAGGGAGTTGGAAACCAAACGGAACGGACCGGATTTATCAGCGAGGTACAATCTGATAACGATAATGGGCCTGTCTAGAAAGACTACGTCTACGGATATGATGGCTACCAGCGAGGTACGCTCCGGTAACGATACAGGGTCTGTCTAGAGACTAAGGATCGCGAGCATAGCAAGGGAAGAATTCTGAGTGGAACTTTGATCCAAGGGTGGAGGACGGCAGAGCGAACGAGTACTGTACTATTTCGACCGAGTGTTCACCCTATGTCACGCGTCACCACAAGTGTTCACTTTCTTAGGTGTTCATTTCTCGGCAATCACATCAAAACTACCATAAATGGAAGTCCGGCGAATGCCGGAGAGAAAATTTTAGTGTTTTACGGCCTATTTGAGCCTCGAAAACTCAATGTCACCGTCACCAGTACCAAAAGTGTTCAGTTCAGAGGGCCGCGTCACGCGTCACCTGAACACTCGGTCGAAATAGTACAGTACGGATTGCAAGGGCCTGTGGGGAGCTGTGGGAAGTTCCGGTGAGAACGGATTTTTTCGGTGGTGACAAATTCAATTGGCGTTTCACATCTCTTACGAAGCGGATGCTGGACGGCGTCTTAGGGCCGCCTGTGATGTTACGCAAATATCCAGCGTACAAAAAGCTGTTGCAACGCCCATCCACTGGCAGACATCGCTTTCTTACCATGTTCAAAATCGTCGCCCTCGCCATAGGCTTCTCCTTTTCAGCCGCCGCTGTCGAGATTCAGAGCTTCAATCCTGCTTGTACTAAGACTCTCTTTCTGCTTGGAGTCGAAGCTTACTGGGTTTTCTAGTCTCAAACGCCGGTATTCAGGGCTGCATCGCCGTTGCTGACAATGTGGACGGTGAACCTCTCATTATCCACGACTGCAACACCGAGCCGAATCTCGCGAACCAGGACTGGAAGGTATCATTCTTTACCAGACAACCCGCCGGCCCCCAGCAAATCCAGGTGTTCGGAGACAAGGTGCGTGTGTGTATCTTGACTGCTCTGCTCACTTTCCTGACCGTTTCCTCAGTGTATCGACGTTACGGGCGGTGTCAACGCAGACGGCACAAAACTCCAGATCTGGACGTGTTCCGAGGGGAACACCAACCAACTGTGGACCTCTCTCAATGATTTCACCTTCCAGTGGAGCGGTACCAACAAATGCATCGATCTCTCCGACGGTAAAATCACCGACGGCAACGTGCTCCAGATTTGGACTTGCGGTACTGGCAGCACTGGCAACCAGAACCAGAAGTGGACCGGCGAACCCAATCCGGATACCTCTGAGTGAGTCCGAGTCCTCCGTCCATTAACCCAGCCAGCCTCAATTAATCATTCACTCCATAGTGTTGATCGTATAATTGGTGGTTCCAGTAAGCAACGCGTCGCACCGTCCCACTTTCCTCTGGCCTGAACATTCTAAACAGTTGCTGCGAACGAAACAGAGCACTGTATCACCGGGGCCTCCAACGCCAACGGCGCCGCGGTCGTTCTCTCCGATTGCGACGACACCAGCAGCACCAGTATTCCCGGCGGCAACGTCACATGGACGGTACCCGTTACACCGCTCATCGGCCAGATTAAGACATTCGACAATAAATGTCTCGATGTGCCCAACGGGTCGACCGCCAACGGCGTCAAGCTCCAACTTTGGACCTGCACCCCCGGTAACACTAACCAGCTCTTCACGGTCCACACCGGGGTCGGACAGATCGAGTGGAGCGGGAAGGGCAAGTGTTTCGATCTCACTGATGGAAAATCGGCGAGCGGCACTCCGGTGCGTTTCTCTCATCCTCTGCCTGCTGCCGCCGGGCTGACTTGAGTCGTTCCTTTTCTTGGTCGATAGATTCAGCTTTGGGATTGCGCCGACAACAACAACCCCAACCAAGACTGGTTCCGCTCGCACGTCGGATTCTAATTCACCTCGACCACACATTGCAAATCCTTGCATCACGATCCGAACATTCATACCCAGGACATTATTAGCTACATCTTTTTGAATTGATGTTTTATCATCGTCCTCACGCATCATCTCTTTTGTTTGAACGAGTCGCTTCATTCCCAACAAGGGGCTCTGCCTTCCGCCACTTATCGCAACTCTTTCATGACGGATTGTGTGGCATGGCCCAATCGAGGACTTCTTTCACATTCACATTTTTAAGATCTTAGCGCGTTGCGAATACGTATCTTGCTTCGAAATTCGATTCAAAGCCGTTCAAATTGTATTGTGTGGCCTTGATGATTTGAACGCCGCTCTTTCTAGGACTATTTTGAGCGACGGCGCTGATAACTTCTCTGCACTTGACCAGCAAGCAACGTGCTTCTCGTACCCACGACCCATCCTTCCTGCTTTGCGACTCCTCTCATGGCAGCTCCCACTCCTCAAACATCGGAACGGTATACACAGTCCTGCAATGCTTCGGGAGTGTGTCCTCCTTGAGTGTGCTGCGTATTGGTGAAAGAAAGGGACTCACCTGCGTTAAGAATAGTGAAGTGAAAAAAAAGCGTGATGCTCACCCTTCGGCGCATGGGAAAATTCAGTCGGAAGCGATGTGTCAAGAAAGGGAACCTCACCGCGAACAAAAGGACGTACTCCCAGATCAGTGGCTCGACCCCGAGTCGAACGAGGATCTTCTGCCTTGGACAGGGTGCCAGAAACAGACAGGCAGTGCAGATGCGGACCATTCGCCATCGAGCCGATACTAGCTGGCAGTGAGACCTCGTTAGTTCATCTTGTGGGCTCAAGCGTACTAGTAAAACAAAGGAAAACGAAGTACGGGGACTCGCCGTGCAACGGACATATCCCTCTGTAAAATCAGTGCATGGAGTTCCTTGAGCCAGCCCCACCATGGCTCGACCCCAAGTCGGACGGAGATCCTCTGCAGCATGTACCTGTTTTACGCAATGCAGGCGCGGGCCGTCTGCCCCCGAGCCCTTTCAAGGGTGTCCCTCGTTAGCTCCGCGATCTTTTTTGATCGCTAAGAGTGAGCTGAAGACGAAGCTGTCCCGAGTATAAATGCAGAGGAATCAGTGGAGGAGCCTGCGAAAGCAGAGGGATCAGAATAAAAATGTAAGAGAAAACGACAGCTCCCCACTGGCTCGACCCCGAGTCGAACGGGATCTTCTGCAGCAGATAGTACAAGACGAGTGATATGTAGTACAGAAGCGGACCATCCGCCATCGAGCCGATATCATTTGGGCGTTGTACTTCCTTGGGTTCGTCGCCCTCGTCGCGGTTAGGCTCTTTTGAATGCTAAGATCAAAGACAGATGGTTTGGCCGCTAGAAGACGAAGGTGTTCCGGCATTAAACACACGAACCAATTGATTGTATGACCTGCCAGACGGAGGAACCAGAATAAGAAAAAGTCGACGAAGACGATGATAATATGGCTCCACCCCGAGTCGAACGGGCCTCCTGCTGCGAATGTGATCTCCATGATGCGAAGTTTGTGCAGGCGCGGACCGTCCGCCATCGAGCCCGATACCAGCAAGGGGTTGTGCCTCGGTGAGTGTGGCCCCGTCGCTGCGAATCAGTGGGGCGTCCGGCTGCTAGAGCCTCCGTTAAGCAAGGCGCAAAACACGAAACGGGAACCTCACCAGGACAAAACGGATTTTTCATGTACAATATAGTTCGACTTGTCTCCCGCAAATTAGTTTAGTTCGAGGCGGAGGAAATGGGAGCGAGGAAACGAACCTCCGGGTATGAAAAGAAAGGTACGGCAAAAGAAGTGGCAGAATTTAATAGTAGCTCGACCCCGAGTCGAACGGGGATCTTCTGCGCAACGTCCCAGAACTTTACTAATCCAGTGCAGATGCGGGCCGTCCGCCATCGAGCCGGTAACGTCCCTTTCTGGATGCGGTATTCGAGACGTTGGTTAGGTTCATTGTTCCCGGTGTTATAAAGAGAAGGACCGCCTCCATCCAGCTGCTTGAAGCTCTCCTGCATACTAAGTGAGTTAAGCAAGGTGCAAGAAAAAGAACGCGCGGTGAACGGAAGTCCGCTCAGGCCATGGCTCGACCCCGAGTCGAACGAGGAAATTCTGCGGTACTTGAACGCACGTCAATACAGTGCAGACGCGGACCGTCCGCCATCGAGCCGGCACTAGCTGGGAGTGAGACCTCGCCAAATTCAGTAATTGCGGTGCTGGAGAAAAAGACTCACAGCCATGCTGCTGCTCGGATATTTCCAGTAAATTGACCTAGGTGGAAGGAATGTGCAAGAATGAACCGCACCCGACGACGGAAAAGGAAGGCGCAAACAAAAAAACAATGCAATATTGGCATGGCTCGACCCCGGGTCGAACGGGGATCTTCTGCGGGATATACAAGCTCCAAAAGCAACATGCAATGCAGAGGCGGACGTCCGGCACCGAGCCGGCATGATGCTGCTAGGGTCGAGCCGTTTGTGTGAATGGTTGTGCAGCTGCCCGAGACTACGGCCAAAGTCGAGCCCAGAGGATCCATAATCTCAAAAAAAATCATTGTCGCGGCGGCGACCGGTGTAGAGCCAAATTGGCAAGAAGAACGTGAAAAAGAAGCAGCCTAGGCTTGGGAAATCGATACTGCGACTGGTTCCAGACGCGCCGCATCCGGGTCACACTCATCGTCATCGTCACTGTCACCGTCACAACCCACCTCATCCACCAAATGTCGGGAATCGGCTCGTTCATCTCGTCGCTCTTCCCTACCACGCACGCCGACGCCGCGGAGGAGAAGCCCGCCTCCATGCCCGGGATGCCCGCCGAGGACGCCCGTGCCGAGCAGGCACCCAAAGAAGAGGAGGAGCCCGAGGAATGTGTTGAGGAACTGTGGGTACCCTACCCCCGCTGCAGGTGTAAGCACTGGCTCCCCTGCGCTTGCGCGTGCCCGCTGACCCGCCCCGCTATCGCTATCCCGCCGTTCCTCTCTTGCCCACAGTCTAGTAAGCCGCCGCCCCTGCCCCTCGTCGTCATCGTTGCTAGCAAGCCCCCACTTGGTCCGCCATGACCCGCACTCCCTTACACCCGCGCGGCTCTCGATGCCCCCACTCGGCGGAGCTCTCCTCCACACGAAACGGGCGCGCGCGGGAACGGTGCGCCCTACGAATCCGGAGCCCGCAGGGGACCAAGACTGCGACGCGGTGCGCAACCACTGCTCATCTCCTTCCTCACATCACGCTAACATATCTCCGCCCTTCGCTCGCCTACTCGCACACCGCGCATGGGAACACGAGCCTCGAGGACCACAACACCGATGCTCCCAGCGCGCGCAGCTCACGTTCGTCCTGCATGATGCAGCGGCGGTGCTGGCGCGTCGCCCGCTCGTGTGCGTCGGCGTCTCCGCGTCACGCCCGCTCCTACTGTCCCCACAGCGCGTTCCGCGTCCGCTAATTTTGTTTTGCGCGCCGCTCCCGCACGCGCTGGGAACCGCAGTGGCTTCGCGCGCATGTCCGACGCACTGCAGCGTACCGTACGTACTTCAGATACGCAGTATGTAGTACTTATCTACACAGTGACCCCAAGTGAATACATCCACTTCACCTACGAGATAAATGGTCGCGCGGCGCAAGTGCTAGGTGGTGTACCGCGACGCGCCGAGTATCTGCGCATGATACAAGCTCCTCGTATGGCATTGTTGGTCAGCGAAATAGGTGAATCACGAGAAACGCCGCGTTCTGGTTCTCGACGCGGATATGCATGCACCGTTACAAGAGCTCGCTGAGTCTTGGAAAGCCGAATAGAGAAAGGAATGAGGAATGAACGCGACAATTGCAAATTACAGGAGCTTCCTTCGTTGCCGATATAGTGAGTCGCGACGAGGCTGCCAGTGGCAATGCGTCAGTTATCAGAGCATCCGCTGCAAAAAAGCCCGAACGAGGAGAGGACGACTCAAGTCGGGCACACCACGGAAGAAAAGAGTCCGTGTCCCGAGTCGGAGTCAGGATGGAACGTGCGATCGTGGCCGACACAAAAACATCCTTTCAACCCAAATTGCAATGACTCGACCCCAAGTCGAACGGGGTCATTCCGCATACACGCCACACAAATCGGACAGATTCAATGCCATCCGCCATCGAGCCGGTACTAGTCGGGAGCGGAGCTCCATTAGGTTCATTAACTGCGCGGGCATTAATGAAATTCACGGCATCCCGTTGAAGTTGTCCTGCAAAGGAGGCTAGCTGAGGGGTGCAAAGACTGAGGGAGCAAACGAATCTCATCCGACTGTGGAAACGACAGCGCGAACAAAAGGGTTCCGACTGACGATGCAATGGCTCGACCCCGAGTCGAACGGGGATCTTCTGCGGTCCCAAAGCAGGAACGTCGGATGCAGTGCAGACGCGGACCGTCCGCCATCGAGCCGGTACCAGCAAGGGGCCGTGCCTCATTAGGTTGATTAACAATGAGGCGCATTCGTGAAGTCACCGCCATCCGGTTGAAGCTACCGCAAATTAATTGAGTTCAGTGCTAGAGAACGAGACTCACGGCATCAGGTTGACGCTCTCCTACACATCAAGTCCGTGAAACGATGTACAAGGAGTGATACAGAACGACCCTCGACATGGGATGGATGAGAGGAAGGAAAGAACGCGCGACCAAAAGTCTTCCTCAGAGTCCCCGAATGGCTCGACCCCGAATCGAACGGGGATCTTCTGCGCAAACCCATTGCGATTTAGATAGGGTGTGCAGAGGCGGGCCTTCCGCCATCGAGCCGTTCTCAATAGTGAAGCGTGCTTCTGTAAGTTCGCCGGGAAGCAGTGGTGGAAAGGGACTCACAGCCATCCTCTGCTTGAACCTCTCCTGGCACTTGAATTGGCGAAATAAACGACAGTGAATGAACCACGAAGGAAAATGAACGCGAGAGAGAAAATAATCTAATCACGAAGCGGCTCGACCCCGAGTCGAACGGGGATCTTCTGCATTAAATGTGCTATTTAACATTGTCATTGAATGCAAACGCGGACCCACCGCCATCGAGCCGGTAAGAGGAGGGAGGGGAACCTCGTTAGATCTGTCCTGTTAGCTGCGATCGTCCGGTCATTTGTGTGAGTAAATGCTGAGCGCTGAGGCAGGAATAGTATACGTATAAGCCTGTCAAACCAGAAGCATAAGAATGAAAAAAGAATGACAAGACAGCACTATGGCTCGACCCCGAGTCGAACGGGACCCTCCTGCTGTGCAACCTGTGTCCCTATTCGGTGCAGGCATGGACGTCCGCTACAGAGCCGTTCTGAAGCCCAAGGGTGCCGCTTTAGGTCTGCGGCTCGGAGCTGAGACAAGTCGACTTTTAACCTGTAGACGCAAATTGGCGTTAGCCTTTCCAAGCAGAGGGATGAGAAAAAGGAAGGGTTGAGGTGGAACGAAGGGTAAAACTCGAAGGGCGAGAAAAATAGAAGACAATCATTAACGAACCATGGCTCGACCCCGAGTCGAACGGGATCTTCTGCAGATATAAACATAAGAGCTCGGCCATGTAGTATAGAGGCGGGCCCTCCGCCATCGAGTGGATCTCAACTGGAAGCGGTCCTTCAATATGCTCAAATATTTTCGTACCTGGTCAAATTGAAAAACAAGGGAGATGAAAACGAAAAAAGATCGTAGTATGGCGACCCCCAGGTGCCGGGATGCTCTGAACGTGCCAAGGATGTAACGAGGCGAAAGAAGCAGCGAGCAAAAAAGACAAGTCAGAGGTATGGCTCGAGCACGAGTCGAACGGGGATCTTCTGCGCAGGATCCCTGAGATCAAGCCAACTAGGCAGTGCAGATGCGGACCATCCGCCATAGAGCCGATACCAGGAGGCAGTTGGCCCTCCCTAGCTTGATCCCTCGCGGGGCGCATTGGCAAAAGAAAAGGAGGCGCCGTCATCCGGTTGAAGTTCCTGCAAAATATTTTAGTCAAGCAAGGTATACACACCAAAAGAAGCAAAGCTTACCTGACAAGGGAAAAGAACGGGCGGCAAAAGCGAGTTCCGTGCTCGACCCCGAGTCGAACGGGGATCGTCTGCGGGCAACGCCTCGAAATATATGCAGTGCAGATGGACCATCCGCCATCGAGCCGGTACTAGTCCGGAGCTGTATCTCCTTCCCCCAGCCAGAGTATTCCGTGCGACGGAGGAAAGGGCGAGTCCAGCCAAAAAATACACTTGTCTCCGATCGCGAGGTGACCGAGATACAAACGAATCTAAACATCCGCGTCAGTGAGTCCGAACCACTCGAGGAGAGAACTTACCATTAGAGCATGATGATCACCCATAGAGCTGAACGAAGCATACCTTGACAAGAGTTCAAGTTATAGTTGCCGAGCTTCGATCCAACGCGAGGCATGTACGTGTGCGGACCAAGTTAAAGTCAGTAATCGACTCATGAAATACATTTGGGTGGACGCAGTAGTGCTTCGAGAGTGTGTGGAGTTGGATGGCATTACGGAGCAGAGCATGGTTCCGAACTCTACAGTAAAGAAAGGACAAGTCAGCCATGGTAAGTATACGAATAAATAGCGGACATACCTGGTTTCATTCAGCGATAGTCTCGGTATTCTGGAGGGTATACGGTGCGTATGACGATGCAGAACGCAAATTAGTCAACCGTTCCGATGATCAGGACTGAATTCAACATACCTTCGCTTGTAAGTAAATCTCAACGTTGAAGTCAATCAGAGCATAGGGATAATAAATCGAACTGACCTGATTCATCCGGCAATAGTTTCGGTATCGAGCGCTATTGGGCCGGCGACCGCGAGGGCTGTGGCCTGGATCGATGCAGTGAAGTTGAAATAAATGTACTGACACAGTTTCGTGAATTAACTGACACTCAAGGTCAGTACGAAACTTGAACTGGGTTCAAGAGTATTGGTGCGCACCTTATTGATACAGCGATGGTCCCGGCGTTTGAGAATTGAGCCGTCGGGTAGCAAGGATCCAAGTCTAATCGAAAATAATTAGGTCAGAGATTGAGGGGCCGAGCGAGAGTCATGGGCAAGTCAGATTGGTCCTGAGGACGAAATATCATCCAGTGAGTAAATTCGACATTCCGGGGCAGGGACACGAGACGAGAGCTGACCTTACCACAGCTCGAAGCGTACTTAAAGGTCGGTGTTGACTGTATGGAGCTTCGACGCCAGCGGAAAGGCGATAGGGTTTCTCTTGAAGACAAGATACCGCTTCTGGAAATGGTCGGTGAATCGAAAAAGGACACTCAGGGCGGAACTGCTTACTCGGAGATCGGCACACATAGACCTAGGAGATCACAATACCCGTAACACAGCCGGTCCGCGAGCGCTGAGCAAGTCGGATCGACCCTGATGAAGAAATCTCAAATAGTCAGTCAATCGGAAATTCGAGGTTCGAACGCCGAACCCGAGAAGTGACAGATCCCGTCATTTTCAGTTGATTTTCTCAGGATTTCCACGCACGTAGGACTCGAATATTGCCCATTTGTCCGACCGGCACTGTCAAATCGTTGTAGTGATCTCGGTCGCCCCGGCTCCAGTTCAACCTTCCCACGATCTGATATTCAGACCCACAATCGTAAATTTCCGTCCATTGGCTACTTAACCACCGTTAAATGATTAGGAATGGCTTATGCAAGTTGGGAGCAAGAGAGGATCTCACTTGGTAGCTGCCTGCGTAGGACTTTGAGTCTCCGAGATGCCCGATTTCAGGTCGCGTTCGAACGCTGAACCGAACCTGAACGCGGGTTCAGGTTCAAGGTTCAGCACTTTGCGAGGTTCAGGTTCGGTGTTCGGAGTAAAGTGCCCTGAATCTGAACCGAACCGAACCTTGCCAGCACTCACTGTGTTCAGCCCGGACCTAGACATCGATTGTCTAGCCGGACGGAGGCCTGGCTAAGCGACTAGACCACGGGCTAGACACGTCCCATCAGCGTGTCTAGTCGCTTAGCCTCCGTCCGGCTAGACAATTGATGTCTAGGTCCGGGCTGAACGCAGTGACTAGTCCATTCACTCCATACCCTCCAAAAAATTGCCACGTGCGGAGATCCGGCTTCAGATCATCCCGTACTGAGGCTGTGCTGCAGGCACGGCCACCGACTTCGACCAACTCATTCCATACCCCGCCGCAATGCCGCAATGCCACCGGAAACATCTACCAGCCACCGAACCGGCCCCGCTCCAGTGCCATGATCCTCCCGCTTCGCCTTCGCCACATCACGAAAAGCAGAAGAAACTCCCAAGGCCATACCGGGTCTTCCAAGGGACCCTCCCGTATCGACGGCACTGAGCGCGAGCCTACGATAGAGAGAGGTCCTGCCCGCTCGTTCCGGTCTGCGCCACCGCTGCAGCAGAGGGGTTCATCTTCTCCGAGAACTGGCAGGCTGATCGAAGAGCTTCCGAAAAATCCAGAGTGCCATGCAGCGAGGAGCAAGAGGCGAGCGATCTCAAGATCACGGAATTTGATCTGTCCACGTGAGTGCAACTGATGAACAGCGGCACACGCCTCGGCCATGATCAGATCAATATGGCAATGCTGCCGGCTGACTCCAAGCCGACTCTACAACTTCTCGATAATTCTTAGAGCTCGCTCTCAAACAAAAAAACCAGATGTAAAACCAATGGAAATCCATGTTTTTTTTTTTGAACTATGGAATAAAATCTGCCTCTGCGTCGTCTTCGTCACCTCCACCAAGATCGTTGGGATCAAGTGACGCGGTTGCGCGAGAGGTACGTATGATTCGATGGCGATGTGGAGTACCGGCAGGCGACGCTGCCGGTCGCTTTTCTGCTGTGGATCGACCGATTGGTATCAGTTCTTCAAGCCGGCAAGCTTCGCCTTGGGCCAGCCTAATCTTCGCGGTCAAAACTTCTCGGGTTTCTGTTGTGGCCCTGAGTTCCCAGCCGGGGTGATTATCAGCTAGATGGGCGGCTATATTGTACCTCCAATGAGTGTCCGGCCATAGTGTGCATCACAATGGAACATTGGTGCAGGGTTTTGCAGCAGTGGACCTCGAGGCTGCTGCGATTTGAAACTCGTACACCTCGTGACACGAGGATGCAGCTTTACCACTCCGGATGATATTGGAACAGCCTCCATTAGACTCAGCCTTACCCCAGAACCCGCAAGGATAATTTGGAGGGTGAGTGACAGCCGTTTGGCAAGCTGATGGCCGGGCTGACGCCGCTGAGTCAGAATTGCGTTATTTGGGGGGGGAGGGTAGGTCCCCCGTGGGAATTTATCCGCGATCCAGGGATCGCACGCCTCGTGGTGAGGAGCTGAGTGACACTGGTGGTGGTGGGCAATGCATTGGGTTTTGATCCGGTTCCCACGATCGGGTCACATGCCCATCAGCCGTGCGGGACCGACCCAAATTTTTGAACACATCTTCAGAGGTACTAGCAGTTACCCGTGTCTTCGCCACGGACAATTGAAGAGTATTATGCCCTGAATTTTAACATAAAGCCACCAACCTTTGGGGCTGGAGCATCGTTTAGGACTTGCTGCTTATAGGACGCTTCAAAAACATATGTCAAACGATGTATTCTGAGAATACTTCAAGCTGACGCTGCCAACTGCTAAAGT